GTGGCTCAGCAAATGCCCTTATCTTAAATTTTTTTAAAAAGGTATTTTGCTTATACATTAGTCTCCAATTCCAAAAAGCTTTTCCTCCAGGCACTTCTTTTTTTAATTTAAATATTTTATTGTTTATGCTATTACATTTGTCCCAATTTTCCCTCATTGCCCGCCTCTACTCAGTCTGCCTCCTCTCCCATAGTCAATCCCCACACTGTTGTCCATGTCCACGGGTCGTTCATATATGTTCTTTGACTAATCCCTTCACCTTCTTTCAACCAGTCCTCACCTTCCTCCTCCCGTTAGAGCTGTCAGTCTGTTCTATATTTCTATGCCTCTGGTTCTATTTTGCTCATTAGTCTATTTTGTTCATTAGATTCCAGTTATAAGTGAGCTCATATGTCATTTGCCTTTTACTAACCAGCTTATTTTACTTAGCATAATAGTCTCCAGTTCCATCCATGCTGTCACAAACAGCAAGATTCCTTCCTTTTTCACTGCTGTGTAGTATTCTGTTGTGTCAATATACCCCAGTTTTTTGATCCACTCATCTACTGATGGGCAGTTAGACTGCTTCCAAATCTTGGCTGTTGTAAATAGTGCTGCTATGAACACAAAGGTGCATAAATTCTTTTGATTTGGTGTTTCGGGATTCTTAGGATATATTCCCAGCAATGGAATCTCTGGGTCAAAAGGCAGTTCCATTTTTAAATTTTTGAGGAAATTCCATACTGTTTTCCACAGTGGCTACACCAGTCTGCATTCCCACCAAGAGTGCACTCAGGCACTTCTATAGGATTGAGATTTGGACATGTTTTCCAGCAACACTTTCACAGGACATCTTTCTTTGTGGGTGATCTCTTCATGCAAACTTCCTTTTGCTGAAAAATGGGTCAGGGTTAGAACAGGGTGGGGGGCTGGGGGTAGGGTCTAAATTGAGGAGATCAACAGGACCATTCTTAAGGAGGCTGGATTCAGCAGGGTCCTGCCTGTGTAGTGCTGCTATACTCTGAGGGACCCCCTCCAGATCTAGGGGATCAGAGAAGGCCTCCTGGAGGAGGTAACACTTGAGTTGGGTATAAAGCAGGGGAAAACCAGGAGGGAGGCCATATTCTTGGAGATTGGTCTAGACTAAAGCCAACTCTGGGGATGCAGCTGGAGCAGGACCTGTTGGGTGACTCCCAAATCATCATGGGATCCTGAGGACCTGTTTCCTCTCCCTGTTGTAGGTAGCCCTGAGAGTTCTGTTGTCAAGAAGTGAATTGGATTCACAAAGTTCGATCTGGATGGAGTAAGCCAGAATGTGGTGGTGATGACTGGCTCTTTTTCACCAGGGGTGGCACTGCTAGGACTCCCAGGGTCACTGAGCTTTCCTTACCCCGCTCCAGATTTCTGCCAAAGGAGGGCCACTCAAAACAAAGGGTAATTCGGAAGGAGGGAAGGAAGCCAGGGAGGTAGAAGTGACTGCCCCTCTGGTTACTAGAATTCTTCACCTTCCCGTGTCACCTACCCACTCAATAGCAGGAGGGTATGCCATTTCCTCCTTTTGACCCTGCCTCCCCTCAAAGTCATCCTGAGCACCGGCTGGTGATTCCATTTCTCCTTCTCTCACCTCACTGCCACCTTGTATGTGTGCTCCTCTACTCTCTGGTGTAATCTTTCTAAATCCCACATCTAAATCGCTAGTATTTACACAGGTCCAAATTCCATGGTGTTGGAAAACACTGCTGTCCTTGTTACAATTATTATTTTACCAAAAGTCCTTTGAAAACTCCAGAGGAAGAAAAACTAATGTGTCAAAAGGCACTGCAGATTGATCGCGTTGTTCCAGCTTTTGAGGCTCCTTCTCAAGGCTCCTGTCCTGAGAGCTTACCTGCATCCAGAGAACTAAAAATTCTAGCCCAGAAACAGTAGGCCTTCCTTCTCTGTTATGAGGTTATGGAAGTTAGAACCATGAGAGTGGCAGTGGCCTTTCCAGTCAACTACATGACCCTTGGCTCACTTAGGGCCCAACTGTCTATGAACTGGAAACCTCCGGATTCCTTCTAAGTTGCCATGAGTTTACGGGAAGAACGGCTAACAGGTCAAACCATCTCTTTTCTGACTTGAGGAAACTGAGTTCCAAAGATGAGCCCTGGCTGGTGTGGCTCAGTGGATTGAGCGCCGGCCTGCCAACCAAAGGGTCACCGATTTTATTTCCAGGAAGGGCACATGCCTGGGTTGTGGGCTAGGTCCCCAGTATGAGGCGTGCAAGAGGCAACCACACATTCATGTTTCTCTCCTCTTTATCCCCCTCTTTCTCCCTCCATTCCCTCTCTCTAAAAATAAATAAATAAAATCTTTTAAAAAAATAATGATGTGTAGCTTGCTTCAAGTTACAAACATAGCTACTAATGATTAAAAAAAAAATTATGAGAATTGCTCTCGTCACCCACGTAAATGTTCCTGAAAACACATTCCTCTGAAGACTATTATGTGAACCTCTCAACCTGTAGACATTCTGGGTAGTTCTTTTCTCCAAGATCATGTTGATCTGTTCTTACTCTAAAAATTCATATAGATTCTCTTTGACCTCCTAAAATCACTGACATCCATTTTAGGAAGACACCTACAAGACACTACTCTCAAGCCTGAGAAAACTGAATCATAATCGTGAGGTTTAGAAAGGTCGTGTGAAACTGTCCCAGAAAGATTAAATGTAACATTAAACATTTTCACTGATAAACAGAACTATTCTTGGGATTGGACAGGGAGGGTAACGAGTCCTAGAGGTAGCAGTTCTGTTACTGGGGAGAGACCTGAGTCAGACCCCCCGCCCCCCGCAACCCTCGGGCTTGTTCCAGTTCTGCTTCACTCACAAGAGACAAATTCAAGTGGGAGACAAACATGTATAGTAGAAATGAGATAGCAAGTTTATTTATGAAACACATACAAGCACGAAACTGCAAGCAGGCACCTGGCTAGTCTGAATGCCCCACATATAGAGGAAATAAAGTTGATGGTAAGTTTGTGTCATACACTTGAGCCAAGGCTACAAGTGAGCACTCAGCTAACCTGAGTGCACAAACAATTGAGGTTCATGGGGTTATATACCTTAGTCAGCTTCTAGAACCCCCTCCTTCTTCCCCTTCTAAATCTTGGGAATAATGTACAGCTACAAAGCCTTTCTCAGTTAGGAAAGGCTCTTTGACTTAGTGAAATTGCTACAGAGGCTCCCTTTCCCAGCACAGTCTCAAGACTCCCCTCCACTAGTGTTATCCCTGCTTGTGATATTCAGAACACCAGGCAATCTCATCAAACCAGGCTCAGGATTGCTGAATCAATGGGCTAGACACAGCTCCCCTCCTCCTCCATCTTAATTTACTAACTATGTATTTAACAGTTTCATGGGGGTTGTGTCCTTGGATTTGTTAAAAGGAAGGAAAAAATCTCCTGAGCTATGAACTCCTGGAGGTTACAAATTGTTTTACTCTGCATTTCACAGTAGTACAGTTAAGGGATCCACATACGTTTGTTGTAAAATAACTTTTGACAGTTTCAAAAGAGAGAAATGTTCTTTTCTTCTATACTTTTAAGTATCAGGCATTATGCTATAGGCTGATTTTGAGGGGATTGAAAAAGAGATGTGTAAAAGACAAAGCTTGTCATAAAGATCCTTTAGTTTATATACAGTAATTTACTGTTCATAACAGATTAGTATTATTTTTAACAAATAATACAACTAAGCCTCAGAGAAGCTAGGTGTTTTATCTGAGCTCAAACAGCTAGCAAGTGCCTGGTTTCTCTCCTGAAGTCCTTGCTTATTCTTCCCTTCTGCACATTCCAGAATAACATTCCTCTCTCCACTTAACTCCCAGATATCCGACTCTGATGGATCCCTGAGGGATTCCTGCCAGGCAGTTGCCATCTCTGCATCCGCCCCCCACGCCCGCCCCGCAATGAATCTTTTTTTCTGCGAAACGCCGGCCTGTAGCCAGGTGAGGCCAGAACCTCCGTTTCAGAGGCTTTCTCTAGAATCCGTTGCTGTGGTTACTTCCAGCAGAATCTGTTTCAGGAAGAGGTTTGTCTGCAAGGGACAGCAGCGCCATTCATCATTACAGGAGGGCAGAATCCGGGGCTGGGGGCCGCACGTTGAGAGGGGAGGGGCCAGGGGGCGGCCCCCTTGTGACCAGCCCTGAGGAGAGGTCAGGAGAGAAGGCTGGCTGAGGAGCGCCTGGACAGCAGCAGCTGCTGACGTTGTGAATCACGCGCCTGGGGCCCAAGGTAACCCAGACCTTTAAACAAACAGTGGGACTGGGGGCGCCTGGTGGGGCGGGGGCGGGGACGGGAAGGGGCAGGGATTTTATGAGGACTGAACACTGAGAATGGGGGCGGCGAACGTGTGAACGGCGTGTGAAGGATCCCGAATTCTCGGAGGAGTCATAGGGAATGAGGGTGCTGAAGCAAGAAACGAGGTGTAAGAGGGAACACAAGCGCGAAGAAGCGTGAGAGGGCGCAAGAGCGGGGCTGACCAAAAGACCGCTTGGAGGTGAGGGCCGAAGGTGGAACACAGCCCCAGAAGCATAGGTAAGGTGGGAGCAGGGTGCCATTTTCTTTTCCAAGTCTATTTTCCATAGGTGCCCCCCTTTCAGCCATTTTTAAGGTAAAATGTTGGCCCAAGTATGTTTTAGGATATAAGGAATTAACGTCAGAGGAAGCTGTACCAAAGTGAGGCTACTAAAAGGCGCAGGAAAGGCAGTCAGAGGGTGGCGCCTTTTTTAAAGATTCCATGTCTTTCCACCCTAAAACTCAGGTCGTACCCCCGCCCCCACCTTTTCCACCCTCCTTCTGCCCCCCCCCCAGCCACCCTGCACCATCCCCCTCCGCCCCGGGCACCGTCCGATCGCCTTTAAAGCAGGTAACCGCCTCCATCTGTCTTCACACTAGCTTGGGAATCTCTGAATAGAGGGGGTGGAGTCGCCGCATCCGCGGTTGAGCTCCAGAGCCTGTGGGAGGGTCCCGGGGAACTAATGGCCCGCCGCAGCTGTGAAGCTAGGCACATCATTCACCGCAATCCGTCTCATTCCATCTACAGTCGCAGCTCGATTCCAGACGCCTTTCTCTTCAGGCCTGGCGGTGAGCTGATGGCCCAAGTTCGAGAAGCTTCCTTACCCTCCGCCTCTTTGGTCTGCTGGAGCTCGGGAGGTGGGGGAGGAGCCTTGCCCGAGGAGGCATCTGAGAAGGCGGGGGAGATGGAGGAGGAGGCGGCGGTGGGGGCAAGGAAGGATTGTGCAGGCCAGGAAGCTGAGAAGATGAAGCTGGAGCCATTACAAGAGCGTAAGCCCGCGCCTGAGGAAAACTTGACGTGGAGCAACAACTGCGGCGATGAGAAGGTGCTCCCTTCAAAGCCCCCTCGCTGGTACAGCAGCTCCTCGTCCCTTTGCCCACGCCGCAAGCCCCGCCCTCGGCCCCGGCTCCGGGCCCGCTCCCGAGGCCCGCCCGGGCCTTCGGCCCCAACCCCGCCCCCTGCCCATCCTCCTCCACTACCTCCAGGGCTTCGGCCCTGGCGCAGACCTCTGCGTAGATCCCGGCAGGCTCCCAGGCCCCAGACGCGGCAAAGCTGTTTTGGTGACTTAGGCGGCTCTGGGGATCGAGGTGGCTTTGGCGACTGGCTGCTGGAGGTGGAGTTTGAACAGGGTCCAGCAGGCTGCTGTCACGTGGAGAGCTTTAAAGTAGTGAAGAACTGGCAGAAGAACCTTCGGCTGATCTACCAGCGTTTCGTCTGGAGTGGGACCCCAGAAACTAGGAAGCGTAAGGCAAAGTCGTGCATCTGTCACGTATGTAGTACCCATATGAACAGACTCCACTCTTGTCTCTCCTGTGTCTTTTTTGGCTGCTTTACTGAAAAACATATTCATAAACATGCAGAAACAAAACAGCACAATTTAGCTGTAGACCTCTATCATGGGGTTATATATTGCTTTATGTGTAAGGATTATGTATATGACAAAGACATAGAACAGATTGCCAAAGAAACAAAAGAGAAAATTTTGAAATTATTAATTTCCACCTCAACAGATGTTTCTCAACAACAATGTATGGAATCAGGTGTTGAAGAGAAGCAATCAACCTGTGAGTCAAAGGAACAGGAGCCAAAATTGGTGAAGCCCAAGAAAAAGAGGAGAAAAAAGTCAGTCTATACTGTAGGCCTGAGAGGGCTAATCAATCTTGGGAACACTTGCTTTATGAATTGTATTGTCCAGGCACTTACCCATATTCCTCTACTGAAAGATTTCTTTCTCTCTGACAAGCACAAATGTATAATGACAAGCCCCAGCTTGTGTCTTGTTTGTGAAATGTCTTCACTTTTTCATGCAATGTACTCTGGGAGCCGAACTCCTCACATTCCCTATAAGTTACTGCACCTGATATGGATTCATGCAGAACACTTAGCAGGGTACAGGCAGCAGGATGCCCATGAGTTCCTTATTGCAATATTAGATGTGCTGCATAGACACAGCAAAGATGATAGTGTTGGGCAGGAAGCCAGTAACCCCAACTGCTGTAACTGCATTATAGACCAAATTTTTACAGGTGGCTTGCAGTCAGATGTCACATGTCAAGCTTGCCACAGCGTCTCCACCACAATAGATCCATGCTGGGACATCAGTTTGGACTTACCTGGCTCTTGTGCCACATTCAGTTCCCAGAGTCCAGAGAGGGCTGACAGCACAGTGAGTAAGAATGACTATATACCAGGAATCCCCTCACTCACAGACTGCTTGCAGTGGTTTACAAGGCCAGAACATCTAGGAAGCAGTGCCAAAATCAAATGTAGTAGTTGCCAAAGCTACCAGGAATCTACCAAACAGCTCACAATGAAGAAATTACCCATTGTGGCCTGTTTTCATCTAAAGCGGTTTGAACATTTAGGCAAACAAAGACGAAAGATTAATACTTTTATCTCCTTTCCCTTGGAGCTGGACATGACTCCATTTTTGGCCTCCACTAAAGAGAGCAGAATGAAAGATGGCCAACCACCAACAGATTGTGTGCCCAATGAGAATAAGTATTCCTTGTTTGCAGTGATTAATCATCATGGAACTTTGGAAAGTGGACACTATACCAGCTTTATCCGGCAACAAAAGGACCAGTGGTTCAGCTGTGATGATGCTGTCATCACCAAGGCTACCATCGAGGACTTACTCTACAGTGAAGGGTATTTACTGTTCTATCACAAACAGGGTCTAGAGAAAGACTAGTCTTACCAGACCACTTACCAGAACAAAGAAAAAGAAATAAATAGGCAAGGATCCTGCAGTGAAACAAACCTGCCTACCTATATAACAATGAGCACCTCTTCAAATATCACAAAAACCTCCTGAAATGGACAATGACAACAACACCTATATAACAGCACCTTGATATAAAGAACATATTTTACCATGGCCTGTGGGAAAAATGAATACTAACTAGTGACCATTCAGCCTTAAATGGAGGAGGGAGGAACGGTCAAAAATGGTCACATAAACCATAATGAAAATAATGTTTTAGATGGGGAGATTGTGAATAGACATGTTCTGGCGCTACTATATGTCATTTGTCCTACAAAAATATTGTGGGAAGTTGGGGTATTTATCAGCAAAAAGCTTCACGATGGGTGTTCCAGCTGTTGCTGACCAAATAGTTTGGGGAAAAAAGATAATATTTTGAAAGAAAATTTTAAAAGCTTTAAAAGGAAAACATTTAACATATTTTTATTTTAAAACAAAGTTTTTAAATGTTGAAATGTCTTAAGTTAGATATTTTTAAATGTTTTACAACTGAAGTTTTTTAAATTTAAAACTTCAAGATTATTAAAATAAGGCTTAAAAACATTTTAGAATTTCTTAGTTCTAAAAAGGTAAAATGAATAAAACGAAAAAAATATAAAAGTTTACTAAAAAAATTAGAGAATCAGCTTTAAAATTCAAAAGTTATAAAAGAAGGAAACTCTTAAAAGCTTAAATGAAATAAAATGTTAATATAAATCTTTTAAAATTAGAGCATAAAATATGTGTTGAAAATCAAAGGTTAGCAAAATTCAAGTAAGTTTATTAAGAAAGTTTTTAAAAATCTGGAATAAAAACAAATTTAAGTTGAAAGTTTTAAAAGGGATGTTTAAGACAATTCAAGACAAAAATTAATTTATTTAAAAACTTAAAATCTAGAAGGAATAATTAGAGAATAGAGAATTTAAAAACATGAACTTTAGAGAATTGAATTTGAGAGTTTTAAATAAAAACACTAAAAAGGATAAAAATTTAAAACCATTAAAAATAACATTTAAATAAAATGAAAAAGTTAAATATATTTAAATAGAAAAATGCTAAAATTGAAAAGCTTAAAAGGTTTTTTTTAAATTTAAGCATTTGAAAGTACATACGGGTATGAAAGAACTAAATGGAGGAGACAAGAATAATAAGACAAAGGTATTTGTAAATATATTTTTGAGTTTTATGTTACACATAAACAATTTTGTAAAAAAATGGAGACTATAATAACCATCTTTTTACAATTAAGTTGTGAGATCACTGCAAGGCCTCAGCCCTAGCCCACCTTCCTCTTTTAGGTTCCACACCCCATCTGATTTCCTGAAGGAAGTAGAGTTATTTCTTAAGCAGAATCAACAGCATCTGAGAAAGATGAATATAGCAGGGACTCTCCCTTTTAGAACTGCATTCATACAAATGATTCCCTTCTGAAAAGGGCCTTTTGACAATTTAGTGGCTTAAGGATTAGATTACAACTGTGAAGCTTCTAGCCTTGGTGTTGGAACCCAGTGGCCTGATTCAGGAAGTGGCAGGGTTCCATATCTTAGGAGCTCCCACCCTCCTCTCCCCCTCTTCCCTCTCTATGGAGAAACAAGACCTTTAAGTTTCCACAGTGGAGCTGTGAGTTTGTGTTTGAGTATTCTCATTCCTCATTCTCTCTTTTTCCCATTATTCCATCATTCATGCCTGGTTCCTGAAACCCTCCCTTACCTGACCTTACCTACACCTCTTGAGTCCCAGCCTGTAGGATTCCTTCCTTCACTATTCACTTGGTGGCTTCTACTCCTCCTTCAAGACTCAACTCACAAGTGACTTCTCTGGAGTCTTCCCTGAATGCTGTAAGCAGGTATAAATTGGAAAATTGTTTCTCCCTCACCTGTGTATCCCTCTCACAGTGCCTCCAAAGTACTTTGTCTGTGAGTACCTCAGTGATAGTACTTATTCTACTGTGATTCTACTGCAGCTTTGTGATTGTCTGCCCCTCTGCACCAAGCATTCTGAGAATGGGGGCCAAGCCTTATTCATTTCTGTGTTAATAAATTGTTGTTGAATATGGAGATGAGTTCAGTTATTTGTGCTATTCACACTCAGTAATGTGTTCTCACCCATTCATCCATCAAGTCCTCATTAGGTGCCCAGTGCTCTAATACAGTGTGATCAGTGTATTTTCCTCTAAGACAGTGTATCACATCCTACTCAGCTTCAGGGAATGGCTTAAGAAGGAAGGTGCTCAGTGAGGAAGTAGCCATGTTGTATGTTGGGAGTCTTGAGAACAGTGCAAGGAAAAGAACACAGGCCTAAGAATTGGTAGTAATGAGAGGTTGGGAGAGGGGAGGGAGCAGCAGCTGAAATACAGAGCTGGGCTCTCTGGTGAATGTGTGGCAACACTGCTCCTCACCCCAGTGTTCTTAAGCTCCTCACAGTGTCTTTTATAACTGTACCACACCTCTCCATGGTGTACCACATTAGTTTACCTTCCCAGGAGAGTGCACCTCACCATTTCACAGTGTTTTATGTCACAGCACATGACTGTGCAACAGAGGAGTGATGTGCAGTGCCTGTGTTTAGAAGAGACGCATAATTTGCTTAGCACTGTAGTCCTCCTTTGTAGTTCCAGTGGAGCTATGAATCACTTTGCCCTGCTCCTCACACCCCTCCCAAGATTTGAGCATATCACTCATGCTAGGCCTGATTAGAGTTCTCAATTCCCCGATTCCTCCACCCACACGCCTCCCATGAGAGTGATTCTTCTGAGGATGGCCATAGGACCCAACAGGGTCCTGTGCAATCAGAGTCCACTGCTAAATTGGATAAGAATAGACACTGGGAGAAAGAAGTGTCTTGCTCCCTACCTCTGCTCCCCACTCCACACCTCATTCTGGAGTCTTTAGTCTAGAATGGCAGCAATCTGGGACTCTGATAGTTCTATATCCATACCATGAGGAGAAAAGTAGGACTGGATGGGGAGGAAGTTGAAAGCATCGTTTGAACCTTGTGGATCTACCTGTTCCTGAAGCCCCAAAGTTCTCAGTTATGTGAGCCAATAAAGCCCTTTGTTTCACTGAAGTTAGAGTTGGGATCCTGTCACTTGCAGCCAAGGGTTTTGATTATATTAGCTAAGCTATATGATTAAGTTGGGTGCATCCTGTTCCTAAGGCCACAAAGGTAGAGAAGGTAAGGAAGAGTGACCTCAGATGGACTCCATCACATATGATTGACAAAACAGAGCAGGTCCTTGCATGCCTTTGAGAAATAAATATTAGCCACTGATCTGTGCTAGATTTTAAACCTTAGAGAAATGATGTAGTTATTCCCAATTAAAGAGAAAAAGGCGTAATAATGTTTCATGAGTACCAAGGCACTATGGTAACAGCTTTACCTGTACTACCTCACTGAGTCCATACAACAATCCTGGGAGACAATCATTACTGAACATACTTCACAGATTGGGAAAGGGAAACCGAATGGAAAAGTGATTTGCTTTAGTTCACTGTAGTATTTTAAGTAGTGGAGCAAGTATTCAAACCACAGTTCCCAAAGCCCATGAACTTCAGTGCAGCCCATGAAGCTCATTACACTTCAGTACAGAATACAATTTTTTTTTTGCTTTTTCTGATGTTGCTATGGAAGAGAGCATATACCAGAATGGTGTAGAAAGCAGACAGCTTTTGAGAAATCTGGATGTAGATAACCTGGAATGAGAGACCTGTCAACTGGTAACACAAAATTGCCCATGCTACAGGTGAATGTGCCTCTATGCCAATGGGCAATAGATCAGGCTATATGACTTTCCTAAGATACCCAGGGTGGATGAGGCCAAAACTCCTGCTCCATTACTAGACAGTATCACCCAATACCATATACTCGCCAGAGCACCAAGACCTGGCTGTAAGATACCACCTACTTACTGTCTGTGAAACCATCAGTTCTCTTGTTACGCTGGGTTTCCTTTCTAGCTTCAGTACTACGACCAGTACTTTCGGTGTCACTTTCACCCCTCACCTTCCATATGGTCTTACAAGAGTGCCCACAATAGCAGCCCCTTAACCACAGATACCTCCCACATGCCTGTTGGGGAGGAGCTTGCCTATTAGGATTTGGTCCCTAGGTGATTCAGTGTTGATTTGCAATGTCCAACTTCTGTTGTTTCTGCACTATTTTCAGTACCTTTATCTTGATTGCCTTGCTAACACAGTAGTAGCTACTCTAGGGCCAGGGTTGGAACTATGTGTTTGTAAACCTCTCAGGCCTATCACAGTATATGGTAGGTGCTTAACGTGCTGCTGAATGAATGGATGAATGAATAAATAAAAATAAATTCCGTTCTTCACTCAGCTTCAGTAGTTGACTTCATTTCCTTTTACCTGAAGTCAAAATACTCATAAGAATGCCTGATTTACCCCCACCACCTATATTAACACACTTCTGTCTGCATCCGTCCTCCACACTTTTACTGTGGTTTCAGAGGAAAAAGAATCCTGCTTTTTTTCTGATGCTGCACCACTAGCCTCCTTCCTATGACCCATTCCTGCAAGTCAAGGGGCCTTGCTCCCACACTTTTCTGTCTATTCCAGCAGCAGCCATGTTTTTTTTTTTCTAGACAGTTATATTCAGCAACTAGACATCCTAGACTTTCTATGATGGTTCTTCAAAAACAATGTCCCATCATCTCTATAAGTTATTAGAAATGTCCCCCAAATCTTAATACTTCCTCCTGCAGTGTACATTGTCCCCAGAAGAGACCAAAAAATCTGTGCAAGGTCTTGATTTGGGTTTCACATTTAAAACATTTCATAGTATTTGCATGATGATTCTGTCCACGATATTCTTTCTTTCTTTATTTTATATATTGTTCAATTACAGTTATCCCACATTTTCCAGCACAGCCCCTCCCACAGGGAATCCCCATCCCGTTGCCCTTGCCTGTGTGTCTTCTATACATGTTTGTGACTTGCTTCTTCCCCTTTTTTCCCCTGTTATCCCCACCCCCTCCCTCACTGGTCACTATAGTTTGTTTTTTATTTCGATGTCTCTGGTTCTATTCTGCTTGTTTCTCTGTTTTGATGATTAGGGTCCACTTATAGGTGAGATCATATGGTACTTGTCTTTCTCTGCCTGGCTTATTTCATTTAGCATAATGCTTCATAGTTCCATCCATACTGTCATGAATAGTAGGAGTTTCTTCTTTCTTTCTGCTGCATAGTATGCCATTGAATAAATGTACCATAGTTTTTTGAGCCACTCATTTACTGATGGGCACTTAGGCTGTTTCCAACACTTGGCTATTGTAAATAATGATGCTATGAACACTGGGGT